TCGTTACTTTAATAAGACTTTAATATGATGAGATGATCTTCAAAATCAACCAATCATAATAAAGCCCGCTATGCTACTGACTGCAGATCATCACGGAAACCTCCAATTTTCAATTTTTATTGGTTGTATCTGACTAATATTGCATGAACTAGCATGAATTTGCATTCATGTTTACTAAAACAGACAAGACAATACGATAACATATTATCAGTAACTATTATTACTGATATTTTACTCAAACGGTTATGCAGTTTAAATGATCTCGATTGACACTGTTGTTCACGTTCAGAGCACTTTCACAGGTCCATATTTAACACTAAATAATCATTATATTATTATTTTTTTTTATATTTAAAATCATATAATAACTATTATTTTATTGGTGTTCCGTCGTGTTCTACAACCTACTCATCAGAATTTCTCCTTTTTCTGTCGGACTTTCTCCTTTTTCGATGAATCTATCCAACCTATCAATAGCGGTACGCATATGAACCATAGTAGCGAGTATACCAATGCGGGCATACTCCTTGTCGTGAGGTTCGTACTTGAACTTGACATCCATGAAAGCTGCACCTAACTTCTGATAGAATTTCACCAAATGCTCGTACACTAAACTGCCGAAAAAGCACATACCGTTATCAACGCAATAATCCATCACACCTCGCACGAACACCGTGTGGAGATTGTTGCTCCTGTACCGCTTCTTTATTGCCACCCTAGAGAATTCCACCAGATTTGGAATCTTATCGAGAAACGAGAGATCTACCCCAGTGTCGTATTCCTGTACTTCGAACTTTCCATCAACCCTTTTGCAAATTCTGGACGTACCTACAAGCTTATCCTCACAGAACAAACCAAATACTGTCGCGATGTAGCTTCGGTTGTCTATGAGTCTTCCATCTTCCACCCTTAATCCTGCGGGATTGTTCTTACCGAACCGCCATTCCTGTTCCTCCACGTAGACTCTGTATAGAAGCCTTTGGGAGTCTTCCAGATGGCTCTCGTTTTCAATAACACGGATCTCGTACATGATGCCTACACCTTTCCTGCTTAAAAAAAAAAGTAAATAATTTCGGCGTAACACACGTTTATTTGCTTGATATGTAAGTGATCATAGCCTTACTGTTTTATATTAAATAAATTCGATTTTATATTCTTCGTTATAATGTTCATTCAACTTATACTATCGTGTTATCGATTTTTCACTACGTCTATTCAACCTTAGTCTTTATGGTTCCTTACACAATTTATTATAACGATTTTACGTCTTTTATTATGTTAAGTTCCTTTCTTATAACAGGAACGAAGTATTAATATTGTTAAAGGGCACACCACACTACACAACCTAAAGACTACAGTGTGGCGACAGTGTGTTGATTGCAAAGGAACAGCGTCGCGTAATGTTGTACGGGAACGATTTGGCGTCACGATGTCAAGGTAGGATTTATTGGGTCTTTTTTTATTTCTATTATTAAGGTCTAATGCCTGTTAACTGTTATCTTTTATTTTTTTAAATTTTTTTAAGACAAAGGGGCTTTTGACGTTATGCTGTTATGAAAAAAAAAATCGGTTAAATTCATGATACTTTCAATCTAAATTTATAGGTATTGTTATTGCGCAATATATTATTTCCATAAAAAGAAATATGGTACTTTATACATATAGCGATAATATTTTAATGTTTTATTCCTATTGGTATTTTATTGCAATATTTTAAATTATTGGATAGCGTTTTTTTTATTATACAATGCGCTCACCTAATTCGGGTGAAATATTATCCAATTCGGAGGATGACTAAAGCCATGTACCCACCTGACTTTTCGAAGTTTTAATTAAAATTTGGGTTAGGCCTAGTTTAGTGTTAGGGTTAGAACAGGTATGCGTAAAATTTCCTTCCCGACATTCCCCAAGACAGGTTTAGATTGCCGTTTTTCATATTTTTGCGGGTTCTTTATTTTTTGACTTCTGCGGACTGATTCGCTTTAGATCCCAAATGATAAGCTACATTATTATATTACTAATTAGAGAAATGATTTTCGTACAGTATATCGGTTTCGTATATCATGTACTCAATATTAAAATTGCATTATTTTTAGATGCCGGATTTTTTATTTCTCAAATATGGATTGGATGTCACATTAGGGTTGCGTCAATTAAGTAAATCAAATCTAAATTAACATTCAATTAAATTTATATGTATTTTTCTAATAATGCGAATGACAAACTTTGAGCGAAGACATCTCAACAATCACCAAGCCAAATTCAATAAGCTTTTTTATTTGAATTTCATGTATCTATAAAATTCAAACGAACAAACAAAAAAAAAAAAGTTTCCCGAATTTGACTTGGTGGTACCTTTCTTTGCTCAAAGTTTAACGAAATTCAAAACGTCTAACAAATTGAAAGCTGCGCCAAGCCTTTCTTCAATAAACTTTTTTATTTGGACTCTACAGTTGTATAGTTAAAAAAAAAAAAAAAAACGTTTATCGAATTTAGCTTGGTGGTTGTCAAAACATCGTTCAAAGTTTGAAAAAAGTTCTGTGAAGCTTCTTTTAAAACGGTTTGAATTTTGTTAAACTTTGACCAAGGATATTTCGACAATTACTAAGTCAAATTCGACAAATTTTTTTATTTTATCTCTACGAATCTAAAATTAAAATAAAAAAAAAATTCAGCAAATACGACTTGTTAGTTGTCGAGATATCTTCGTTCAAAGTAAGACAAAATTCAAAAACATTCATCAAAATAAGAGCTGCGCCAAACTTTGAACGAAGATATCTTGACAACCATTAAACCAAGTTTGATAAACTTTTTTTTATTTGGATTCTACAGATTTATAGAATCTATATTATTAAAATTATAATGTTTGTCCGGAAAACGATTCTGATCGGTCACGATTTTCGTGTAACATAAACAAGCATGATCGTCCTAACTTAAACTCGAGGTGAGACCGTCCCAAATATGGAAATGATTATCCGATGGTTACACAATTGTGAAAGAATTTTTTTTATACG